CTCTCTCTCTCTCTCTCTCTCTCTCTCTCTCTCTCTCTCTCTCTCTCTCTCTCGCTCGCTCTCTATTATATATATTTATAGATGTGTTCGCTGTAGCCATTCAAATCATTATCACAATTAATAAAATCATAAATATTTGATTCGTTATAATAATAATCACTTTCATTATTGTTATTATTATTTACAATATTGTTATAAATATGAATGTTATTTAATTCGATGTAGCATCCTTGGTCACTATTTGCCCCTGGTACAATATAAATACTGCTAATATTGTACATTTTGTTGCCATGTCCAGAATGCCCCGCAGTATTAAGCCTAAGCACCGGTATGGGTCTCGAGTAAGTTAAATGAGGTGATTTTAAAAAGCATTTTCTGTGCACAATGTAAACCACTATTGAAAGTAATATAAGGATACATGTAATGCATATTATCAGAATAAGCCACCATTTTATTCCAGGTAAATTGTTTATATTATCAGGGTGATCGCGGAAATCAGTCTCGGTCATTGTAAATAAATCCGCATTATCATAGTTAGCGCATTTTACGTTTACTAAATGTTGGCTAACACTTAGCTCTCGGTCAAAAATCCATTTAATATTATTGTAGTGGCAGTTAATCGAATTTTTTGACAAATCAATTTTCACCCTGGATGAATGTTCGCAATGCCGGCGAAACACCTTCATTGGCAACGAGTCAATTGCATTTCCCTCTAGATTTAGCATAACACTACCTTGGTCGTTGTCTAACATTAGATTAGATATGTGCAACTCATCAGTTGTAATATCGTTATGTTTGAGGTTTATTGATAAGTTCTGGCGGCTCGATAGCATCAGGCAATTAGCATCAAGGTGTTTTATAGACAACGAATTTAAGTAGATAATTGATAACCTGGTCAAATTAGCAAAAATAAACGAGCCAAGCTCCTCAATAACGTTACCACCATTGGACGCTTGATCCATAAAATCTATTTTAGATATCTGGGTGAATTTAGTAAAATTAGCGTTTAATTTAGCCCATTTAATATTATTTATAAATATTTCCTCTATTAGATTAAGGTCATTGTTCATTTGAGAGATCGTTTCCATTTGGCGCTCATCGATATAATTTAGATCCAATCTATTATACAGCGCACAGCAATTGACTTCGATGTCAGTTGAGCCATACAGTTCCAATAACCGCAACCTACAGTCCAATGCAAGGCCACTGCCTTCACAATGACATCTTTTTGCATACAAATTAAATTGACACGTTTGGCATAATATGATATACACGAATTGAATTAGTACAATTTGAGTAATAATATAGCATTTGTCCATGTTTAGTAGTATGCAAGTTAACAAAGTATGACTTCTACTATGAATTGTTTAGAAATGGTTGCACTTGTGATTTTAACATGAATAAATATATTTCACTTTACATTATCATTTTCTATCTGCAAAATATATTTCAATCAAGCATTTCATGACCATGTTGACATTTCTAGTAATTGCATAAATTGTGTTTGTCTTAGCATGTTTTGAAGTTACAATTGTAAGCTACTTAACGTTATGTAAAAATTATTTTATAGTGTCTTAATAAATGATAAATAATATAATAATTGCTATTTATAAAGTGTCTAGAAATTTTATTGCTAGATTGTTTACACGTAATCATATTCATATTCAACGGCTACAATACATATAAAATTGTAAGTTTAACAACAAATGATATATTTTTAATTACTTATTTATTTTAATCATTATATAATTACGTTTATATTCTAATCACAGTTTTATGTTTTATTTGTTATCACTAATTTTATTTTAATAATATTTGCAATCATTCCCATAGTATTAGCATTGCCATAGACTTAAGTAGTATATAATAGTATATATTGATTAGATTTTAAGTAAATGAATATTAATTACCTAACAAATAGACCCTAACAGAGATAGTGTTGACCCCAAAAGCCTCCCCTCCCGTCCCTAACTATACCATACCATACCTTACCTTACCTTTGCTATTGTGTGGCACATCCGGAGGGGCTAAGTGTGAGAAAAAAATTGGTAGATATAATGTAAGCATAGATTACTGCTTACATTATATCTATCAATGTATTATATAAAAAAGAGAGGAAAATTAATAAATATAAAAGAGAGAGAGAGAGAGAGAGAGAGAGCCAGAAATTAGTGGACAATTAGCCGGGTATCCGAAGAATTAGTTGTAATCGACATGCATTTGAGCGTAAGAATGGGGTCAACTCCTAAAGAATTTATATACATGTATGTGAAATAAACAGACAGTACAATACACATACAATACATTAACATGGTCATGTTTTCGGTACTAACCGTATTGTGCATACTGTAGTGAACATATGGTGTACACTATAGTGTATTTTTTTTAATTTTGTCGGCGAGAAAATTGCGGGCAATTGGATCGACACGGATAGACACGGTATGTGTTGTGAATAAAGGATTGTAATAATAATAATAATAATAATACTATTAAATAGTGAGTGAATGAGTTAGAGAGAGAGATAGCATCACTACTACTGAGAGATCACACATTGAGACAAATAAAAAAAAGTCTCTCTCTCTCTCTCTCTCTCTCTCTCTCTCTCTTTTCATATCATATAAAATATGATATGAAAAGAGAGAGAGAGAGAGAGAGAGAGAGAGATTAATAAAAAATAAGGAGAAAAATATATATAAATATACTGTCATCTATTCATACAGTATATTTATATATATTGTGAGGGGTCCGACTTCCTCATAGGCTTTTACGTACAAAAAATATTTTGTACATAAAAGCCTGTGTATTGTTATATAAAGGGGACAGATATAGGTCAGATCGGCACATTCACACACATACAAGCATACACACACACAAATACATATAAAATTATATAACAATAGTGGGGTTAGGAATAGAAAGTTTTGAGGGGTTAGTTAGCACTACCAATACTACAGTAGAACATTTTAGTGCTTTTATTGTTAGAAAAAGTTTTGGAGAACACTGTTTCTCACGGGGACTGTGGGAAAGATTTCAAGTTTCCCATCGGGTTTTCGTATAAATAGCCGAGACTTTCGCTCAAAAAATCATTCGACTTGTGTCGTTCATCGAGTGAACATCTCCTCCTCTGGTGGCTTTGGTGGCTCAACTCTGGTGGCTTTGGCGATACTCTGGTGGCTCTACTCTGGCATCACTTTGGCTCTACGCTGGTCGTCTACCATTGGCTTTGGTGGTTAAGCTCTGCTGGTTTGGCTTTGGCTTGGCGTCACTGGTCTGCCTTTGGGACACCGCTATTGGGTTGGCTTTGGCGGCTCTCTGTTGGCTCGGCACTGGTATCTACTGGCTTCGCCGTGAATACCCTGCGTTCACCGTCGGTCTTGCCTTCGCCCGCAAACACACCGATTCACGCCGTCACTCACTACTTTTAACCGTCGGTCTCTCCTCGCGCCCGTCATCCTTCGGCACCCGTCGCTGGACTCTCATCACGTCGGTCACCCTCTGGACTCTCGGCAAACATAAGTCGCCATCCGATCGACACATCATACGCTCGCTTCCCTGTTGTCCACCAGACGTACGTCAGCGCTCACCCTCTCGACGCTCTACACTCGAGGCTTTCCGCAACGGTCTGTTAGACTAGTCGACCCCGCCTGTACACCCGCCGTCTGTGCCGTCACTCCCGGACTCTCGCCGTTCACCCACCGTCTGTGCCGTCACTCTCGGACTCTCGCCGTTCACCCGCCGTCTGTGCCGTCACTCTCGGACTCTCGCCGTACACTAGCCGTCTGTGCCGTTACTCCCGGACTTTCGCCGTACACCCACACTATCGACCGACTCTGGCAGACCGGTACCAATACATTGTTGCTGTAATCGCTCTCCTCACTTGGGTTGCTTTTGCCGCTGCACTCGTGGTGTTCTGTTGGTCTGAGGATTGGGTTGGGCCTCTACTTTTCGTCACTTCTGCTGTACTGGCTGTTTGGTTAGTCGGCTATTTGTGCCCGGAAGCCTTCGACATAACAGACCTCTACCCAGACGTAGCACTCCAACACGTTGCCGTCTATACCATCGAATTACCGTCTGGTTTGTTGATCACCGGTACATTTCGTGACCCCATATTTGGTGCCATACCTTTTCAATCCGTCTCATCAGTCCCACGGCAAACACATCACTCCACAGCCATCCGTCCGCCGGCACTGCCGTCTCTGACCGAAACTCCCGGAACAGTTGTCGAGTCAGTAAACACTTAGTGTTTTTTGCGACCGCTGACAGCCGAACGTGTCTTCACTCACCAAAACTTTGTTTGTGATTGTGTTCAACAGTTGTGAATATGGATACCACTCAACAGCCGACCTCTTCGTCTAACGGTAAGCAAAATGTTTATTTACTTTAGCTTA